ATAAAAATGTAAAAATTGTAAAATTCTATGAGTTCGAGGAATTATTAGTTATAGAAACTAAAGAATAAGACCCAACTCTAAAGCACTCTAAAAATATTCGTGGATGCGTTCGATGGCCTGTTTAATAATAAACATATCATATATGAATAACTGATTAAATTAACGTTTAACGGCAATTTAGTAGTTTTATCGGCTATTTTCTCGCTACTGAAATTTTATGAAGTATATGGTTAAAATGCTTCAATGCAATACTTATTTTTGCAATTGTCTTAAAACAATGATATCGAGCTAATTTCATTTCCGTTGTAAAGTTATGTTTTTTGGATTATAGTTGTAGTTGATGTTTAAATTTTTTATTAAGTTGGAGTAGTTGATAAAGTTTGATTCAGACGAGCGATTAGTGATTAGTTACAATTTTCTGTTAAGAAAGTCATGTGAGATGTCAATGTTTTCTTTATTTTTTTTCTACCATTTTTTAATTCCCATGTTTACAACTTACAAATTTATTTACTTTAATTTAAGACTTTAAAGTTTAAGTCTTTAAGAGTTTAATTAAGACTTTTAAATACTAAACTAAACTTAAGTCTTAAGTTTAGTTTAGTATTTAACTATTTATTACTTAGTCAATTTGTAATTCTAATTGTTAGTCTACTGTCATTGTTTTTCTAAATGTCATAATAAATAAAATCAAAATGATTTTTTTTGTTTGACCATCCTTCCCTATACTTGACAATTAAATTAACTAAAATTAAAAAGTTTCAACTATTTGTTGTTAATTTGTTATTTGCAAAGAAAAAATATAATTTTAATTTTTTTGTACTGGCTGGGATTGGGAGTGACAATTTTTTTTATCTTCCATTCACACTCATTTAGATTAGTGTTTAGTCTTTAGTAAGTTAGAGTAATCATTAACTTTACTCTTCTTTCTTTATTAAAGTGAAGAGTAAAGTTAAATCTGAATGGAAACTTTTAAAAATGTTAAGTTTACTCATTTACTGTGTGTGTACATTGCATCTATTTATTTTTGTTATTATTTATTATTTTGTTTGAACTCCTCTTCTAATCCAGCATTGCAGATGGCGCTTATTTTAATATTATATTAAAATATAAAATTTTGTGTTCATATTTTTATTAGTGTTGAATTTTTATTTTATAATATTATGTTCAAGTATATTTATATTTTATTTATATAATAATTATTAAAATAAATTAAATATTTATATTTTATCCATTAATTATTAATTATTAACTGAATAAATCACTAAATAAAATGCTGCAACTTTTTCAGGGCAGATCCTTCAGTATCATATAAGCAAGGAGCTACCAAACAACCAAAGTATTTTATATATTTTTTCATATAATTAATTTTTTAAAATTTGTTTCATAAAAATATTTTGCTGTAGAACTGCAATGACTGTCTATGAATATTCTTTTATAAATAAATTTAATAATCTCACAGTTTTAAATGTTTTTTTCCAATTTTTTTTATTCCCATAGAAATTAAAATCAGATTATATGAAAATTTGGTCATGTGACTTGATGCTTTTGCTTGGCTGTCCGCCCCTTTTTTAATTAGCATTTGAAACTGGCCCTGATATCTGAAATTATAATTTGCTTAGCATTATTCTCATATTGAAATTGGGGGAAATAATGTTGAGATTGTGGTGTTAGCATCATCAGACGTCAGTAGTATCATTGTGGTAGTATAATTATTGTGATAGTATTATTACTGTGGTAATATCATTGTGGTTTTAGTATCCCCCAATGGTAGCAGGGCTTATAATTTACTTTAATAATGATTTAAGATTTTTTTTTATTGTATGTTTGCTATTTTTAAAAATTACTTTAAGAATGAGCTTATCTGCATTACTCTTTATTAAGAGTTTATAAATTACATTAGTTTAATTTTTTCATTTTGACAAATGTTCTAAGTAATATAAGACATGGTGTGAACACACCCTCTTGTGTTCACTGTTCGTATGTATTTTTATATTTAATGTTTAGACTTGTGTTCATGTATACATTTATATTTAATGTTAAGGTTTTATTGACTAAATTGTAGTTGCTTATATAAAAGTACATTAAAAACGTTTAACAAATTTCAGATTATTTTAATTGTATAGAATTTAAATATCAGAGGTATTGCTCTATCATTATCAGAATGTATTTTGTAGTGGTTTGTGGATGTGCAAGTTAATTACTTCCATTTACTACTTCCATAATGCATTCTATTTTTGATAAGTTCTACTTGATATAGTTTACAATATTATATAACTTTCTTTACGTGTTTTATTTATGTAAAATATTTCAAATGTTTTTCAATAAAATTTGCATCATTAATAATTTTATTGTGGTGCAGTTTTATAAAGATGAGTGAATGAGTAAATGTGAAGGTTCATGTTGCAGTTAGACTCGTTTAAATTATCATCTAAAATATTACAACATTCAGATAAACATCTTGCATCTTTTTATTCAATTTTCTGCCAGTGGTTCCAGTAAGCTGTTCATTGATGTTCTTTGAATACTGTAATGATACATGATATATAACACATCAGCACCTTCATTATTCATAAACGTGATTCATGATACCATGGTGTCCAAGTCTGGTGAAAAATTCCTACTCTTGACTCTGAATTTTGAGTCCAAGAACAAAATTTTCAACTTTTGCATTATAATATTACTTGAATATCAACTGCTAAGTTGAAAATACTCTAAAAGACGTTTAAAATTAATCAATCTCTGACTTGACACTTTGCATCATACATGAACATAATTCATAATAATACACCAACATCTTCATCTTTCTCAGATCAGTTCAAGCCAATGTGTTAAGACACAATTATCAATTACAATTACACAATTATCATCAATTTATCAGCTCATATTTTAATTATTCACTTGTCAGAATAAGAAATTAAAAGACAAAAAGAAAGGTCTAATAAAATGAATTATAATGAAATAGTTTTTTAAGTGTACAAGGATGTGCATAGGTGCAGGAGTTATATTTGATTAACATTATGAATTGTTTGTTTCTACTGCATTAAATACCATACAATGACTTAGTAGCTGTGTTTGTTAGTTTTGCATGAAAAGAAGTTGACCATAACTTATTAAATGAAGACAAGTTAAAGTTATGAAAACCAATTATAATAATAGAAATCCTAAGTTATTAAAGTGAATTATAAGCGCTTCCCGTCAGTCTAATCAGACTGATGATGCTAACACCTAGTACCGCGCGGTCTTGACATTATTTTTTACAATTTGAATATGAGAATAATGTTATGCAAATTAAAATTTAAAATGATAATGTCGATGTTAACTTACTACAGAGCTAAAATTAAGTATTGGTGATATTAATTCTTCACATTTTCATGCAACTACGAACTACATAGGCAAGTAAGTTGAAGACGAAACATCTGAATATTTTCTTATATAATAATCTATCATTCTAATCATACATTTATTTGCACGTCAGAATATTGCAAAGTGTTTCAGTTTGCTTCTCAAAAACATATTTTGATTATATATTATTAATATGGTTAATAAAAATGAAGTTGATATTCAGTTATCTTGCTAACGTAGATGAATGCGCAAGTACCTACACATACACACTGTGTGCGTGTACGTACGCATGTGTTTGCGTGTGCGTACGGGCTTAGACAATTCAAAAACGTGCATGGTGTGCGTGCGTACGCACGCGCGCGTATGTGTGTGATATTTACTTTATGATGTAAGTCTATTAGTGTTTATTGTGCCCAAACTCAAGCGACCATCGCTGATGACTGAACAACCAACTGAAAATTGTGCTGTTTTGCAATATCTAACGTTCATTAACTCTTGCTATCAAATCCAATTTACTTAGTGCATGAATTTTCTCTGCTCATTTTTATGTTTCGATATTTTATATTAGATTGGACTATGTTGCTGGCTTATTATTATTATAATAACTTAAATAACTTAAACGACGACTTTAAACATTTAAAAATAACAATAAATACATTTGAAATGCCTACTTTAAGTCTCTTTAAAACATTTAATCTTTCGCTAATAAATATTATCAATATTTGGACTGATTATTTTGCAATAACCTTATAAACTCTGCCCTATCATCGTCGTACGCTATCTGTTGCGACAGAATTGTGAAATGAATCAATTTTAAAACATTTAACTCTGGTCGTACTCTCTCTTTCGAATGATGAGCTTCTCAGATTAATACTCTATTTATTGTATTTGACACTTTATTTTATTTCATTATTTTATTTTATTTGTACTGTTCATTTCATTGTTTTTTTTATTGCTGAATAAAAGATCGTTCCCATTCTTATTATTATTATTATTATTATTATTGAAGCAACGGATACTTGAAACGTGATCAGCTTTTATAAATTGTTCAATTGAGTTCTCAACAATTATTTTATATTGCTGGACTGCAGAGATTATCAGCTATAATAATAAGTTGATATTTCATAATGTAATTTTAATCTTTATTATCAGTTTAAAATTTAATTCGACTGATCGAATGAGTTTAAAAATTAATATCTTTTTCTCTTTTTTGATAAAACAAAATGAAACTAGAATAACAAATAGATAAAAATAAATAATATTTTTTGCATTGAAAAGATAATTTGACATTTACTTAATATATACATTCAGAAAAGATTAATCTTTCTTTTACATTCCAAATGTTTAATTCACAAAATGTTGATATATCTTCATTTCACTCACACATTTCAACGAATTGGCTAAATAAATTTGCTGTCATTTTTTATATTCATTCAGTTGAAGTTGTTAATGTGGAAATGATTCTTCCAATCTTGTCATATTTTCCAAATGAACCTCTCACTTGTTAATTAATCATTCGTATTTTTTTCAAAAGTCATTTCTTTTGTCGTCTTTTGTGATGAATTAACTGTTTATTAACATAAAGTCTTTTTTTTTAAATTTTTACTAAGTTTTAATTTGTTAAAATTAAATATAGTGATGGTTATCAAAGAGCTCCAAATGCAAAGATCCAAGAAACCCAAGCACAAGTTGATCAGGTGATTCTTTGATGTAAATTGTTGCTGTAAAGATATATAATTTCGTTTCTTTGAAGGTTGTCAGAAGTTCATCAATTGGTTTGGAGTTATTGTGTGCAATGTTGATGTCAACATATCGGGTTTTAAATCGAAATCATTTTTAAAGGTTTCATTTTCTAGATGTCAAAAGTCCAAGTCAGGGATTTTTTGAGAAGCTGAAGATAGATATTTTTTATCCAATTTCGAAAGGCGTTAAGAATTTGAAAGAAATATTTGTTTTAAAAGAGATTTCAAGCTTTAGTTTTTTATGAGATACACGAAGCGACAGGCAGTTATCTTTTATACTATTAAATACTAACATATTTTTAAACATGGTTCGCACAGCTTAGTTCTAATTTTTTTACAGCTTTAGTAAACAAACTCATTTATACGTTTAATTTTTCTAAATTAATGACTGAGACAATGGCGGATTTAGAGGGAGGGCTGGGGGGCCATTGTTATCATCAGTTCAACTCAGGACAGTGTTAAATAATAAAAAAAAATTTGAGATCGACTCTTTTTAACAATAAAAAATAACGCTGATTTATTATATTGATATAACTTTGATACAAGTTTATTTCAGGATATAATTCATATTTTAAACTTAAATATTGTTTTGTGGCACAAAATAAAAATAATTCATGTTTTCTTGTTCGCAGTTCACATTTTATTCCAATTACGATTTGGCTCGTGCGCGTCTCATATTATTTTTTTGTGTTTCATAAAATCAGTTCGCATTTGAATTCGTTTTAAAATTAAAAAAAATGTCTTTTAAAAAAAGTAGTATTTTAAACTTTTTTCCACTGACTCGGGCATAAAACAGAAGCAGTGCTATAATCTCAATACACTTGAGGCCGTTAATTTAATTAATCATGGTAATACCTAGATATTTTAACAATTGCATATGAAATAATTTTGTATTTTCAACTAAAAAAATTAGCAATAAGCTGAATAATAAAACATTTTTTGGGTTATGGTTAATGCGTACCAGTCATTACCCGACAAGACTTGAATTAATTTTGTAGTATTTAACCATTCAGGTGTGGTAGGAAATTAAAAAAATTTAACCTCAACGTTTTTTTTTTACATTTATAGAATCTGATGTCTTGGAAAAAGGCCTTTTATTAAATTTAAACGATGACATGACTGATGTTTCAGACAAAACTGGTAATTCATGTCAGAGTTTTTCAAAGGAAACAATACCTTTAGATATTGGACAATATGTCACATCGTTTCAACATCTAGGGGATGTTCTGGATTGTACTGGAACAGCTGAAGCTGCCGTTTGAGCACGCGTACGTGCAGCCTGCAATAAATGGCATCTCCTTGCCTCTATATTGATGCGGCGTGACATCCCACTACCACTACGATCAAATCAAATCTAATCTGCGTTTATTCAGCAAAGCTAGGAGACCAGAAGCAAATGCTTGTGAGGTCACCCTAAAAATAAACAAAATTAAACAAGTTAAAATAAACAGGAATTAACTCACAATTAAACAGAAATAAAAACATACAGGAATAAACAAGTTAACTTAAATCAACAATCAACTCTGGAAATGCATAATAACAAAGGATAAACAATTATGCATAAATACACAATTTAAATCAAGTTAGTGTGAAATGATTAAGTAAGATTAGCTGATTAACTGATGAACGGAAAAGACCTAGAGAAGAACAGTCCCTTGCATCAACAGGCAGCACATTCCAAAGACGCATAGAACAAGACAAGGCAGAATTAAGAAAGAAATCAGGAATAAAACGTAACGAAATTTGTCTAGTATTCTTATACAATGCTAATCGATCATAAAGAGATTGACAATAATTTAATTTAATTATTTTAAAAAATAGAAGTAATAAATGCAAAATATGTAACTGTTTTATATTTAGAATGTTAGCTATTTTATAATTATCTACACTAACATGATCAAAGCGATTCAATTTAAACAATATACGAATAAAAAAATTTTGGGCTATAGTTAGAACATGAAGACTAGATTTAGAAGCACAACCCCAAACGGAAATACAATAAGTCAAATATGGTAAAATTAAGGAGTTATAAAGGGTGGATACAATAAATTTAGGAAATTTAAACCTTAACCTATAAATAAGACCCAAATTTTTGGATAATTTACCAGATATATATTTGATATGAGATAACCAACACAAGTTAGAAAAAATAACAATACCTAAAAACTTGGTAGAATCAACTCTTTTAATCATAGAATTGTTTAAATATATAATCGGTGATACAATATCGGTCCTGATCTTAGGTACGAATAAAATAAAACATGTTTTGTCTAAATTAATACGTAAATTATTAGAAACAACCCAGTCATAAACAAATTTTAATTCATCATTAATAACAGCGACAAGTTCATTAAAATCAGAATGGGAATAAAGTAAGGTTGTATCATCAGCAAACAGAACAAATTTTAATAAATTGGAAGAATTAATAAAATCATTAATATAAACATTAAAAAGCAATGGTCCCAAGATAGAACCTTGGGGAACCCCCAATTTAATAGGAGACAGTAAAGATTTAGAACCATTAATACAGACATACTGGAAACGATCAATTAAATATGAATGAAACCAATTAGTCTGAAGGACCACATAAAATCTAACGAAATCCTGCGTCGTGCTGATTTAGATGATATAAAGGACGAATGCCGGCAACACCGTTTGAGGTGGTTTGGCCATGTCAAACGAAGTGGAACAGTGCTATACTTCTCTTGCA